GCTTTTCCCCTGACTTCTCGAATCATCAACTTACTTCGCGGTTCTGCAAAGCATTTGGTTGTTTTCTATGAGATCATAGTGAACTTGCAGCCCGAAGCTAGCAAGACTGCTATCCAAAAGTTGTCTGACACTCGATGGGTTGAAGGACATGTTGCTGTTCTGACTTTTAGCCAGCTCTAGTTTTCCCTTGAAGCTACACTAGAAGACACAGAATAAGCCTGGGAAAGCTGTGAAACTACAAAAATGTTAGCTCCGCTCTAACAAAAAGAAGAATTGACGTTCAAATTTGGTCTCGATTTACATCCACAAAGATTTGGAAATCAAAGTCGAGGATGTCGTTGACAGATTTGCCGCAAAATCGAAGACTCAGTTTTGCTTAATTTCGTTTAATTTTTAAATAATTCAAAATTTTTTTCAAATTTTTTCTCCTTCCTCCTCTCCCCGCGCTCAAGCAAATTTTGTATTTGCCCCTGATTACCTGTAAATGGTCAATAGAGAAAATACTTGTAACAATTACCTCAGTATGACGCAATTTTCAGTTAAGCTTACCTTAAGTTCAACTGGTTTGCTCGTTGTTAGTCCGTTAAAATTTCAACTGGTTCATACGCACCGGTAGGTAAGTCCACATAAATTATGCTTGATGACACATGATTTTTATGGAGCAGTTTTGCAAAGTCAGAAGTACGCAAAAGCGAAAGACAACGTTCAGAAAATGCATATTGGCCTGAGTCTAAAAATTATAAAAACTTCTTATGAGCCTTATTTGATTGTTCATTTTTGATTTTCCACAATATTTTTTGTTTGGTTTGTTTTGCAAATATTTTTTTGCACTCGAAGCATCAAAATTTCTCAAACTGGGAGAAAAAGTTACTCAACGGTCAAAACTGATTGTTAAAATTCGAAATCTGAATGGAGGAAACTTCCACCCCTAAGCGCAAATGCTTTGTCACTTTCTGCAAAAGTGAAAACGAAAACGAAATGCTACTCCAAGGTTAACAGTAAAACAAGACTGCTCGTATCAGGGCGAAGCCATGAATGTTCCGACTGCATTTTAAGGTTTATGGAGCAGTAATAACATTAAAAAATTAAATGTAAGAAAAAATATAATGAAAAAATTTTTTTTTCCAAAACTTGAATTTTTTATGACAATCATCCCCGACACGCCATACAAAGTACAAAAGGATAGATTTTGCTCCTTGTAACAAACCAATTATGGCGAATAAGCTTCTTTTAACCAATTTGGAACGATTTCTAAGACGGACTAACTCTCCGCTTACGCGTTAATAGCGCGAAATATATCGCGCGTTAATTGTTACAAATTGGCCAAAATGGCAATCTTTAAACCCCCATAACTTTACGAAAAAATGATTACAGGTAAAATATCTTTTCAAAATTGAGCTCAGGACAACAATACCTTTCGAATGATATAAAAAAAATTCCGTCAAAAATGGCTAGTTAAAAAGTCGAAATTTGTCTGAAGAAAAAAAAACCCACCCCGAGCACACATATTCTGTTACTTTCGTATCGAAAGTCGGAACAATAACTGCTCTCATCAGGCAACAACCCTGATTATCTCGGCTGGTTTTTTAAAAGTGCCTGGACTAGCATTTGGCTGCAAAAAATATGTCATTAATTTTTTTTTTTTTTAAACTTAGATTTCAAAATGTGCCCCTTTTGAAAATGAGGGCACCAAGCGGGAACTCTAATGTGCAGTGATTTTGTGGTTAAACACTATTTGACTCATAGACTTTGATTATCAAGATGGGAACCAACAGTGATCAATTTTGTGCCCGTCAAATTATCTTGAGTGTTAGTGTTACTATAGCGCGGCTTGAATTATGCCGCTTGAATTATAATTGCGGCTGTATAAATTTTCCGGCTTTTGAAAGAAATGGCGGAATTTAGATATTTGGACTAGTTTTTATCGACAAATTTTGAATTTCGACGGAACAAGTTTTGACTATCTAAAAAATATTAATGCCTTTGACCTCAAAATTAGAATTTTTCGCCTGTTACATTTTTCATAATGTCATGGGATTTGGGAAATGCCAATTTGGCTGGCCATAATGTGCAAATTAATCTGCGCTCTATTTCGTTCAATGAGCGCAAAAATGGCAAAAGAATCAGACTCGGACAATATTCCAAATTGATTTGAGGCAAGCTGTTTAGTCTAATCGACTGACAAGTCGCTTGATGCGAAACAGATCTTTTAAATTTAACATAGCGTGTGGGGAAACATTTTTAAAAAAAGTTCGTTTACATAAGTTTTTCTTGTGGAGGCTTCAGCTGTTTTTTTTTAAATTAAAACGTACGTCATATACATATACGTCAAATTTTGAGGACTGCCTGTTTTCCAGATTTTTAATGAGAAACAATTATTTGGATTAAACGAGTTATTGATTGTTTCAAGGCTGTTTTGTACAGACATGCCTAAGAGCAATGAACAAATGGTTCAAATCTATGTTAAGTAATGCACCGCTTCGAACAATAAGCTCTCCTGATTTGAAATTGGATTTTTAAGAGCCGAAAAAAGTTTGCTTCCGGATTATGTGAATAGTGGTGAAACGAAACTGTAGTTTCCATTCATCAATTCCAGTTCTAGTTTTTAAAAACATCGATTCAGAATATAGAAAAATGCTGTCTGAAGGTTCGTTCAAACGCGTTGTTTTTGTTTGAAGTGCGTGGGAAAAATACAATTCAGTTCAAACTTCCTTCACCATCAAAAGGCTAGAAAACAGATAAAAAGCTAAATGGCTCACTTTGATAAGTTTTGGTTTTCTTAAAGAGTTGATTGCTGTCGTTCATTATTTTAAGAAAAAGGGATTGAAAAGAGTAAAAAAAATAACTGTGCAATAGCACGAAATTTGTTTTAAAGATGCAAGGCGTATCAGACCGGTTTACCGCATCCGATTTAGCCACACCAGAAAAAAAACGAAGGCTATAAGTTTGTTCCTATTAACTTAAATTTAATATATTACCAATTTTTCAAGAAAAAAAACTGTTTCATTCACCAAAAAAGTTCGTTGATACATACAAATAATTATGATTAATTTGATTGGTGTTGCCATTCATTGAGAACCCACTTTTCCTGTCTTTTATTCATATTTTACATACAGATATTCCCAAAGATGTCTTCATGCTCAAAGACGGCTGTTTTTATGTCCTTTAGGCTTGAAAAACTAAAAATAAGTCTTTGTTGTTGCGGAACCGCAACGAGTTTGACTCCAAAAAATGGAAATCACATTTTTCAAAATGTTTTCCATGGCGCCTACCTCCCTGAGCTTCAGGAACACTGTTCAGTAAAAAACGCATACAGAGAGAACACTTGTAAGCAGAACTGGGCCAATATTTTCCCGAAAGAGGGCAGATTTTAAAAAATCTTGGAAGCTTTGTTGACTTAAATAATTATCAAGAAAAGAAAAAAGCGCAGTTTTTAGGCACAGTTTGGAATATTTTTGGTAGAACTATGTGCATTTGAAACTTATTAATTTGGCTAATGAAAGGCCTTCGAAGAAAACAGAATATTTAAGCATGGCATCGTTTCTTTGTTCAATTAACGGAGATCGAAACAATATTTTCTAACAAAGTTTTTTTTTGTCCCGTTGAAGATAGCGACACCTTGAAATCAAGTTTAAAAATGATTTTTATACCCAATCTTTTTTTTGCAAAGTCCTGGGAGTTTCAAAAATTGTCGTTTTGGCTATGCTCTGGACTAAATTAAGCGCGTTTTGAACATTTTATTATTAATTTTGAAAACGTGACGCAAAGTATGTGTGCGTGTCGAACTATCCCGCAGAACAAAAATGTTCCAAATTGAATTGAAGCTAGCTAATCGGTCGTATTAATTTCGACGACTCAATTTTTCTCACTTCATCTGTAATGTTAGTCAAATTTTTTAATTTTTAAAAATTTGTCCTACCAAAAATATTCAATATGGAATGAGGGGCACTCGGAACAATCAAGACTATGCCTTGATACAAAAGCAGTCTTGTTTGTTTTTAACGCGCAACTTATTGCGCTCCTATACCACCTTTTAACGGAAATTTAAACCATTTCAAAATGAAATGATGCCAGAGACTTGCTCAAATCAATTAGGAGCCCTTTAATCAATTAGGAGACGCTAAATATATCTTTTTTTTGTTTATAAACCGTGTTTTATAAGACAAAACTCAAAAGTTTATTGTTCCGACTTTTCGTAACGAAAATAATCGAATATTTGTGCTCGGGGCATTTTTTTCTTTAGGCAACTTTCGGCTTTTGAATTAGCAATTTTCGACGGAGTTTTTTCTAGATCCTTCAAAAGGTATTGTCGTCTTGACCTTAATTTTGAAAAGATATTTCACCTGTGATTATTTTTTGTAAAGTTATGGGGTTTAAGATTGTCATTTTGGCCAATTTGGGAAAATTACGGCTGGATATAGTTCGCGCCATTAACTATAAAGCCGTCATAGAATTTGTTCCAAATTGGTCGAAGGAAGCTTATTTGCCACAACTGATATGCTACTAAGAGCGAAATCTATAATTTTGTGCTTTATATGGCGTGTGGGGGATGATTTTCAAAAAAAAATTGCGAAATAAAAAAATTTCCCTATTTGTTTTATACTTCATATTATTAGAAACCTTAAAAGGCAGTTTGAAGATTCAGGGCTTCACCCTGATACGAGCAGCCTTGTTTCAATTTGGAATATTTTTGTGTTCGTTAGATTCACCGCAAGCGCGTGATAGAACGAGATACACCGCTCGTTAATTATACCAAAGTAGCCAAATTGACACATTTAACAAATCAGAATAATTTCACAAAAAAAAATTGCAATTAAAATATCTTCTCAATTTTGAGCTCAAGGCATGAATATATTTCAATTTACGTAAAAAAATAACGTGTTAAAATTTGCTAGTTAAACAAAGTTTGTCTGGAGAACGAGCCACCTGGAACATCAACACTCCATCAATTTTCATCTAACGTCGGCGGAACAAAAAGAGAGACAATTGTTTGCGCTCACCTCACAGCTGAATGTCTTCTGGGCGGCTTCCTTCTCACTATTGTCTCCTCCACCTCCTCCTCAACTTGATCATTGTTGTTCACCTCTGTCATCCCCACCTCAATCCCCGAAGCAAACAGTCCCCCCATCCCGTGCCCTGCTCCCTCTCTCCGCCCCACTGCTGAGCCTTTACTAATTGCCCCTCTCCTTGCCTTCACAGTTTCCTTGCGCCACTGTTTGTGTCGCACCTACAATTTAATATCAGCTTGTAATTGCAAACTGATTGTTACTGAAATTTTTTTTTTCATGCCTCAAAATGTTTCGTGCTGTGATTGAGAAAAAAAATTTTTTCTTTTAATTCTCTCCATTGAATTTCCCGGAAAAAAGATTTGCATAATCCTGCTTAAAATTACTTTTGATGTTCTAAATTTTAGTGAAATATGTAAAGGTGAACATTTGTGATTCCTCAATTGACAAAAAAGGGTTATTAAACAATTCCATACTATGAACAAGACTGCTCGTATGCAGGGCAAAACTATGAATGTTCAGACTGCCCCTTAATCCATATCGAATTGTTTTTGGGAGAAAAAAATATTGCAAAACTATAAATTGTGACCAACATTTCAGATCAAGTGGGAAAACTTGAGTCGTTTGAGAAAAATATTACGACAGATTCGCTAGCCTTAGTTCAATTTGTAACAGTTTTTTGCGCGGGATAATTCGCCGCGCATAAATTATTTGTGCTACACTTTCAGCAATATGATTAAAATCCTTAAAATGCGCATAAATTAGTCCAGAGCATGACTCAATTGAGAATATTTGAACTTCTATAATTTTGTAAAAAAAGATCAGAGGTAAAATATCTTTTAATATTTGACTTCAGGGAGTCGCCATCTTCAGTGGGGTATTGAAAATTTTGCTAAATACTATTATTTTGATTACCGAAAAAAGACTGAATACAAAAACCACCCCAAGCATAAATAATCCGTTTTTTTTTCAAAACTTGGAATAACAAACTACCCCAAGCATAAATATTCCGTTTTTATGGTGAGTTGGAACAAAAATGCTTCTGACATTGACAAAAACAAATGGATGGCGATCAATTCTGTACAGATAATGTGAAGATCTTTAAGAAAATTGATTCAAATTAATTTAGAATCGGTTTGAATTGATTTAAAAAAAATCTAATTTCAAACAGATTTAAATCAGTTTAACTCATTATAAAACAGTTTTTTTTTCAATTTTTTTATATATTTTTTTACAGTAAAATAGAAAAAAATTACAAATTTTTCCGACTACCGTAAAATAAAATTTGTAAGCAAAACATTTTTATTGAGGATTTGATGGTTTTATTTATTGTCAAAAACTGCAACCAAATCCATTCACAAAAATTTATAGGCAATGACATCAACTTGTTGCGACAGTAAAAAACAATCGACAAATACCCTAAGTTGATTGCATTATTCAACAGGGCTTGAAAATCAATTCTTCAAAAAAGTTTTTAATATGTGTAAAAAGTTGATATCAAATTGAATCAATCCTAACCAATTGTTTTCAGTGCGAGTTGTCATACACATAAAGTCTGTAGAAAAAAGTGTTTAAAATTACATGATAAGCCTTTTTCCTTGCTATATGGAATTTAATTTTGGTTTTTGGTTTAAGTATAAGTGTTTTATACAAAAACAGAACGCAGCAGGAGTTGCTTATGTAGAAAACGAAGAGTCAGAATATTGAGAAGAATATTTTTAGAGCAGAATGAGTCCCAGACTAGAAAAATAATCTTTGATACGGGATTATTGGTGTGCGGTAGAAGGCGACAACTGGCTCTAAGTTTCGTATAAAATCTTATCCTCGATTGGCAAGCTTGCAACATGCTGGTGCGATTTCGTAGATCATTATTTAGTTGCTTAGGCTGTTTGAGTGGTGTTGGGTGGTTTGAAATTTAACAGGACTGCTCGCATTGAGGTATGGTATAATTCGTTATGCTTTTCTTTGCTCCTCTTCTTGCTCTTAGACCATGCTTCTCATTGACCGGCCACAAGCAACCAAGAGCCTCGCAATAAAACTGTATTTGGAGATTTACTATCTAAGCTGGCTTATTGCGTTTCATGTAAGCTGGCTTATTGTTCCGACTTTCGATACAAAAGTAACGGAATATTTGTGCTCGGGTTGGGTTTTTTTTTTTTCAGACAAATGTTGACTTTTTAACTACTCATTTTAAACGGAAGTTTTTTATATCATTCAAAAGTAATGTTGTCCTGAGTCTAAATTTGAAAAAATATTTCACCTGTGATTTTTTTTCGTAAAGTTATGGGGGTTTAAAGATTGCCATTTTGGGCAATTTGGGACAATTAACGCGCGACCAATTTCGCGCTATTAACGCGTAAGCGGAGATTTAGTCCATCTTAATTTCAACCAAATAGTTCCAAATTGGTTGAAAGAAGCTTAGTTGCCATAGTTGATTTGTTAAAGGAGCCAAATCTATCCTTTTGCACTTTATATGGCGTGTGGGGGGATAATTTTCATTAAAAAATTTCAAATTAAAAAAAATTGATTTCATTTTTTACATTTATTTTTTTTTATGTTATTACTGCTCGATAAACCTTAAAAGATAGTCGGAAAATTCAGAGCTTTGCCTGGATACGAGCAGTCTTGTTTTTTTTGTCGGTATATTTGTACAGAAAATGAAATAGTTAGGCTTGGTGTGGTTTTTTTGTTCAGTCAATTTTCGCGCGATCGGAATAATTGTTTTCAACAAAAAACTTTTACACCCCATTAAAGATATTGACTTTCTAAGTTCTTATTTAAAAAGATATTTTGCCTCCGAATATATTTTTGGAAAGTTCTGGGGGTTTGAAAATTGCCAAGTTGGCCATGTTCTGGACCAATTTATGCGCGCTTTGAAGAGTTTATTTATAATGCTGAGAGCGTAATACGAATTATTTATGCGCGATCAATTATCCCGCACAAGAAAGCTGTTCCAATTTGAGTTTGATAGGCTAGCTAGTCGGTTGTATTAATTTCACACTTTGATTTTGTCCAAAATTTGTAGGTTTTCAATATTTCAGTTTCCCAAAAAGTACAGTGCTGATTTAAATTAACCGGACAAAACGAGCTAAACTTGAAATTTAAAACGCGTTTTTCACAAATTGGATTGAGTTAAGGTGAAAATTTATGAAGACAAAACTTTCTTAAAATTAGGAATAAATATGGTGTAGTTTGTTTTGCGAAATTCGGGCCCAAAATTTAACCCCAAAAATGGGTCATTTTGGCTTTTCTTAGTTATTCAAAAATTACGCCAAAAATACCCAGTTGATCACAGACATAATTATATCGAAGTGAGCTCCTTACGTAGCTCAACAAACTTAAAGAAGGGTTGTTCTCCAAAAAAATTGTAAACCGTTTAGAAATTGTTCTTGATTAAAAATTTGGTGTTTTATATAGTAAAAACGACCCTCTTTGTCTATCAAACAGAAATAAATTAACTTATACAATGTTTTGGAGAATATACCCTTCTTAAAGTTTTTTGGGCTACGTAAAGGGCTCACTTTGATATAATAAGGTTTGTGATTGACTGGGTATTTTTGGCTTAATTTTCGAAAAACTAAGAAAAGCCAAAATGACCCATTTTTGGGGTTAAATTTTGGGCCAGAATTTCGCAAAACCAATTACACCATATTAATTCTGCTAAAAAATTTTTTGCAAGTTTTGTCTTCATAAGTTTTCACCTAAGCTCAACCCAATTTGAGAAAAACGCGTTTTAAATTTCAAGTTTAACGCGTTTTGTCCGGTTAATTTAAATCAGCACTGTATTTGGTATGAATTAAGGGACAGTCGGAACATTCAGGACTTTCCCCTGATACAAGAGGTTTTTTTTAGGTTAACGAAATTAATTTTTGAGCTCTTTTTGGCACTACTCAGTAGGTTTGGGCCAAAAAACTTTGTTTTTCTGGCGCACCATTTGGGGTAAGTGATACTAAGCTTTTAGACATGTTTAAATTTGTTTCGCTAACCAAATAGTTGGAAAAGCCGCAAAAATATACTTGTAACGTTATTTTTGTCGGCATATTTTTTGCGTCGCGGAATCTGGTAAAAGCGAAAACATCAAAGAAATGAAGCAAAATGATCAAAGAAATGAGCTCAGCATTTTAAGCTGCGCTATATAAAGCCAATTGTATCTGAATTCCACAACAGCAAAAATATCAAAAAACAATAGCGTTTATGCGGATTCCATGACAAAAAATTGTCCAGCCTTGTTGCGGAATCCGCTTACCATTCGGAAAATAAACAACTTCGCACCGTAGAGGCGCCTTCTCAAAATTATCATAAATTGGCGCCAAGGGCGCTGCTAGAAAAATTTTTCAATTAGGTTTGTGTTGAAATGTATGACGTGTGAAATAATAATAATAGAGAGGACTCTTTGGTTGGTGAGGGGGTCAAATCCTTGAGGGCAAAAAGCTTTCTCCTTCTAAATCCGCCCTTCTTTCAAGCAAATTGGGGTATACGGCTTCAAGATTTCTAATTTTTATAATTTTACAGGACTAGGAAGTTAATATAGGTTTTAATAATTTTAACTGACCTTGAATTCTTTTAGCTGTTCACGTGCTGTTTTGAAGACGGCGTAGAAGAGTATTGCGACTAGGGTGGCGGCTAGAAGGAGGTAGGAGGCGAAGACTGAGACGAAGAAAGTGGCGTAGATTCTCTGACAGTAGAGAATGTTGACCAGTGGTACGAATACGGACAGCGGCACGCACCTGAAATTTTTCATGTCATTATGAAGCAGCTTGAAAAACGACAGCAAACACAAGGTTCTTCAAGGTTACTCGTGTAGGCACAGGCTTTTTCCAGTTCCCCCCTTTCAAAATACCGAGTTTTTTTGTTTGTCTTACGTATTATTACGGCTAAATGCGCGATGTTACGTTGTAAAGTATGAAGAACAAATCTGATCAAAGTTGTCGATTTGTTCACCACGCCAAATTTCATTGCATTATGATAACGTTAAATAAGCTTTTCAAAATTGAATTTGAAAGGGGGGAGGAAACTGGAAAAGAGCCTAGGGACGAAGCCCTTAATGTTCCGCCTGACCTTTAAAGTTTTTATGGAAGAGTTTCTAGTTTTCGAAAAACTGATGAAATTCTTACAGATAACTTATTTTCGAACCTATTTTTGAGTTTTTTGAAAATCATCACCTGCACACTATATAAAGTAGAAAGTGGTACATTTCACTTACGACAAAGTAATATTTAGACTGACGAGCATGTCAAATTTGTTATGGAACAATTTTTAAGCGCAATTTTTTGCCGCCTACGCGTAAAGAATACACGTGCAATAATGATCCCAAGCTGGATAAACTGAAAATTTTCAAACCTAATAAATTTGCAAAAATGATCACATGTAAAATTGCCTTTTAATGTCTAAAAATTGCTAGCTAATAAGTCGAAATTTGTCTGGAGAATTTGCCTTCATAAAATCAAATAATGCAAGAACAAAGAGTGTAAAAGTTATGAGGGCGAAACCCTGATAGTTCTGACTGCCCTTTAGCCTAGATAAAAGCATTCGAACTTTTGTTTCAAATCTTTAGTTGACTTATATATTTCTTAAATTTATCCCTCAACAGGCTATATAGAGTTCAAAGTGATATAGTTGGCGTCGGATTTCGTTTTAATAAGAGAAAAATGTTTGCCTCAATTCAAATTGGAACTATTCAATTTGCCGATTACGTTTGAAAAGGATGAACTATTTTATGCGTTAATTATATCAATTTGATTTATTGTGTTAAAAGTATTCCTAAATTTGATTCCATATAATCTGAGAAAAAACATTCGCAGTTCTGTTAAATAGTCAAAAATTGACTTAAAAAATTTACCAACGCGCAACTCTTTTATCTTTTTCTCCAATTTCGGGTGCACATAGAGGCACTAAGGCACTAGAACTCCTGCTCATTCGTTTTTTGTTCCGATTATCTAAGAAATTAAGGAAAATGTAATCTCGCGTTTTTTTTATTCAGACCAATTCTCAAAAATATTTCCCTCAGGGGACCACTCCATGGATTCGTACTTCAAGAGGGTTTGCACTCACCAGAAGACTATCTTGACTTAAAGAGTTCTGTGAAATGCACACTAATAGACTAACGTGATTATAAGAGCGCTGTGATACATTGATGTTGAATGTTTAACGCGCATTATGTACCCGTGGCGATTTATCCCGCGCCACAAAGTTGTTCTAATTTCAATTAAGGCAGGCTAATTAATAGTCAATATTTCTTTAACCAAAAACTATTCTAGACAAGTTTATGGACAGTCAGAACATTCAGGGCTTTGCGCTGATACGAGCAGTCTTGTTTTTGATTCAGATGACTATTACAAAATTCTGGTCCCGCGAGGGATCGCTCTCTTTGTCTAAATGCGGCCAGCCAATTGTGCACACTATAGTAAACTGCCATGCATATGTGGAAACTGCATGTTTTTTATACCGCTCTAGAAAACTTTTCCAAATTGAACTGAGGAAGCTAATAAAAATCGAGCACAATTTTTTCGGCCGAGACCGCCAAAATATCTTATTTCTGTCGTGACGTTGATAAATTACGCAAAATGTTTCGAGCTGGTCGAAACATATAGAATTTTGGTTGAGACCGTGAAACATAGAGAGAACACCCGACTCCGGTAAGAGCAAAACTACTCAATTAATTTGAACCTGCGTGACTTGAAATGAACTGGCTTGAATCTGTAACCACTACTCAGACTTGACTTTTGATACTTGAGCCAAAGTCTGGGAATCAAATAGAATCAAAAGAGGTAAGCGTCCAAGTAATTCGTTTCAAAAATCAAATCTCAAGTCTGAGTAGTGAGTACAGGTTCAAATTCATTCATTTCAGGTCACTCAAGTTCAAATTCATTGAATGCTTTTGCTCTAATCTGAGTCGAGGTACTCTCTCTATGTTTCGACGATCTCGACCAAAATTCTATAAGTTTCGAACAGCTCGAACAAGGTTGCGTACTTTATAAACGCCACGACCGCAATAAGGTATGTTTCGACTTTCTTGACCAAAAAATGCGTTCGATTTTGCTGGACACATGCGAGATTTGTTTTGACCGTCTCGACCAATTTCGGTCAAATTTAAGTTTCAATTAAAAAGAACTATGCAAAATAAACATGATATAACTTCTTCAGGTTTATGTTTCTTCGGATATATAGTTAGGGTACATAATTTCTTTGGGTGTATAGTTTTTGTGTTTATGTCTCAGGGTCATTTTTTTTATCATTATGAAAAAATTCTGAAGAAAAACTTGTTGTTGAACTCGTTTTTATTCTGTGATCAGCGTAAAAAAAGTTGTTTTTATTCTGTGATTATTTTTTATTAAACTAACTTTTTTTACGCTGATCACAGAATAAAAACGAGTTCAACAACAAGTTTTTCTTCAGAATTTTTTCATAATGATAAAAAAAATGACCCTGAGACATAAACACAAAAACTATACACCCAAAGAAATTATATACCCTAACTATATATCCGAAGAAACATAAACCTGAAGAAGTTATATAATGTTTATTTTGCATAGTTCTTTTTAATTGAAACTTAAATTTGACCGAAATTGGTCGAGACGGTCAAAACAAATCTCGCATGTGTCCAGCAAAATCGAACGCATTGTCGATTACTTAATTGGAGTAATAAATATAGGTAAATAAATGTACGTTGTTTTTAAAGGTATTTTTACCGATCGACCTGTAGCTATTTTGGGCCTAATTAGGTTTATCAACCAATTACGATATATATGTAGAGGCTTTCTCTGCGTTCTCTAGTACTAACTACTCAAAATTCTTGAATTTTAATATCTTCCAATTATTGCATTCTACAACTGTTTTTACTCCATCCGTCAATGATCAATCCAAAGTTTTTGTGTTGTAGCTTTTCAATTTCTCCAATGCTTTGTTTCTTACAAAGCGGAGTTAATTTATAAAAATAGGTTTTGAAGTTCCTTGGTGTAATTTTTTTCTAGATTGGTAGTCTATAAAGAAGTAAATTTTTCCTTACATAATCACCCTCTCTCCAATCCATTATAGTTCTTTCTCACTTTTTTGGTTATAGAAAACTCAATTTGAAATTTTGATGGTTTAGTTTGAATGTTTATCAATCAATATTTATTTTTTAAACTTAATATAACAATACAAGGTCTGATATGACAAATATTGAGCTTGCTGTTCCGACTTCCGCAGAAAGTGCAGAAAACTTATGCTTGGCGTGATTCAGTCAAATTTCGATCTTTTAACTAAGAGTCCTTGGCAAATTTTTTTGTATCACCTGAAAAATGTTGTTTATTTGTGGTCAGATTCAAAAACTTAAGAGCAAAGTATAAAAATAATTTAAGTATAACATTTTAGGTCAATTGAGTTCAATAATTGTAAAGTACAGAGTAATTTATTTCGCACAACTCAGTTAAACATTTTACTTGGATTAGGCTAAAATTAGGTAGAGCCGCAAACCCAATGAACCAATCTTCAATCAACAGATAAAAAAGAACGATTAAAATGCCTAATTAATTCAAGTTTGAAGTTTGGCTCTATAACTTACGCAAATATAAACATGAACAGCCGGTTGTTCTTGAAGTTGTACAAACTGTTTCAAACTAGACCTACAATTAGACTTGTTTAGGTTCATTATAAACAATCTAAGCTGAATCAGCAGATGAAAAGCATCAAAGCCAACACATCGCCGAAGCTCTGAACAAAAACAACAAAAGATTGCTAGAATCTAAAAACAACAAGACTGCCCGCATGAGAACAATACCTTGATTGTTCCGACTACCTTTTAAAATCTATGGATCAATGATCGTTTAAAAAATTGACGAATAATTCAAAAAAATCTGGAGACTAATGTTTGCTGGTCTCCAATAATTTTTATTTACTAAAATTTTGATGAATCATAAACTTTGGTCCGTCAATAGCAGTAGTTAAAATTTGAGTGGTCTTAAAACGATTATTTAGTTTGCGTCTACTCTTTTGAAAAAATAATGAGTGCGGGATAATTCGGCTTGTTAAGTTGAGTGTTGAAATTATTAACTATTAATCGAGCGCTATGAACCGCATTTAAACTAGCGGCAAGCATATCGCTTGGCAATCCGAAGATAGCTGGAGCGATACCCATACGCAGTCAGTTTTTTGTATGAGCGGTTTGAATAACAAAAGACCCCTCAAACCTATATATTCTTCTTTTTCTTCGAAAATCGATGCAAAATATTTTGTCAAAATGCAGAAAAAGTTGAAAATTAACTGAAATAAAAAAACTACCCCAAGCATAAATATCGAAAGTCGGAACAACAAAAGTACTCGTATCAGAGCTAAGTCCTTAATTATCTAATTGTCTTCTATGGTTGTAGTATTCTTAGCTGTAGTACTATTAGTTGCAGTACTTTTAGCTTCAAAAATTTAATAAATTAAAAAACGAAAAAAGAAAATTAAATTTTTTGAAAATCATCTTCCCACACGCTAGAAAGGGTACAAAATGATATATATTGCATTTAGAAAAGTTAGAGGCTGAAAAAATAGCATGATTCTTCTTTATTTTGAAGCAATTTCTATGACAGATTTATTCTCCGCTTCCGCGTTAATAGCACGAATTATATCGCGCGTTAATTGTCCCAAATTGACCAAACTGACAACCTTTTAAACTCTCATAGTTTCACGAAAACTATTCACAAATCGAACATCTGTTGATATTTTAGTTCAAGACATCAATAATTTCCGGATGATATAAAAACAGACCATCAAAAAAGGCTAATTAATAATTCATCTGGAGGAAAAAAACCACCCCGAGCTTTTACTAAAACTATTAATTGTTGACCAAATAAAAACGGGAAGACCCTTAAAACGATATCACTCAGCCTAATCTGATAATCGTATGTCAATCAATCTAATGGTACCACATTTTGCCTAGATAGACTTATAAAGAAACTAAAACACATCCAAAGACAGTACTAGCCTAAGACAAAGTTTCAGTTAACTGAACAACAAACCTAGAAATCAATGACATGTGTTCGACCGCGATATCTCATACTTTCATTGAGGATAGATAAATATTGTGTCTCAGTTAACCTCAAAATATGCTTTTATCCTTTTACATTAGAAAAACACCTCGAAAACTTACAGTAAATCACAAATTTCGAACAAGAAAAACTTGTAGACCATTAATCTAAGTTTTGACTTTTTCCTGCAAGCTTGTTGACATTACAATCTTTGACTAGTGTAAAAAATGTATCATTATTCGAATTAGAAGGCAGCATCCCAGAATCGTTTTGATCAAACCCACTCTAGGAGTTTTATTTAAGACTTAAAATTTGAGGATAATGAGTTTTTCAGAAAACAAATTTTTTTCTACTCGTTAGTTAAATTTTTGACGTATTTTACAACGCTTATGTATTCGGTTCGAATTGCTAGCTTTATGTTTTGATTTTCAATCGAAAAAGTCACCACTTAATCGAATTGGGTCGAAATTGTGAAAACATATCTGATTTGAGTTGAGTTAAGCGAGCACAACTTCGGTCGAAAAAGTCGAAACACGCCTGAATTTAATCGGTCAAAATATACACATTTTGGTCGAGATTGTTGAATAATGTGACTTATCGAGTATCTAGCGAGTGATTCAAAGGATTACTTATGAACGTAGGTTGGTTCTTACCAGGAGACGATAATTGAAAAGTTTTTCCACTTGAACATGAAGTCGTGATATTTCAGCGGGACACAAATGAACAAACACCTCTCGGCCGCAATAGCACAAACACACGTGATGTTGATAGTCGGAAGCACCATCCCGACACTCTCTAGAGCACACGGGATGCTCTCGGCAATCGTGTCGTCGAGAAGTCGTGAACTGATTATGAACACGTCATAAATTAACGAGCACGTATCAGTAACAGCGAGATTGAACAAAAATAAATTGGCGTGTGTATTCATTAAGGGAAATTTAAAAAACAAAACAAAAAGTATAAAGTTTGACGACAACCCACAAAACGCAAAAATAACTCGGATAATATCGAAAGCAAACACGAAGTCATCATCGACCAAGTTTGACAAGCTGGTCAAATTAACAGTTTCGTTGACCATTTTAGAGTTGACTGCCTTTTATGAATACCCGAATCAGGTGTGACGTTTAGAAATATAAATTTGGCGAGTATGGCGCTTGTGTCGAGTCTGCTTTTAGGCGGCTAAATAACAGAATCAACAAGACGCCATGGGCTGTAAATTAAGTCAAAGTGAATACAAATTTAGGTGAAAACGTGAATTATGGCTTTTTCTCGTTCCATTTCGCTTTGTGTTTTTGATGGATGTCACTGATGCTTAACGATTTTTTAAAATGCTTATTATTTTTTTGCAATTTTTCGATACTCCTGTCTTCTGGTTGGTCACATCAAAAACATATACAGGAAACAAATCGACTGCAAAAGGGGATAAAAATTACTGCAGTACTTCACTTGAATAACATACAGTAGAATGTTGAAGCTTTTGATGGTGAAGTTTATTGGAGGTATCAGGAGAGTTTAAGAGGAAAAGTCACCCGTAGAGAAAGAAAAATAGTTTGTTTTTGAACTCCGATGAGACTAATTAATCATGCCTTCTTTTTTCACATTGAAAAAGAAAGAGAATTTGGGTGTTTTTCTAATAAGTATAAGTAAATAAACTGACATGGCACAAAAATACTTCTTTGAAATGAAATAAGATACCGAAATTCCAAAAATAAAATCAATATGAACCCATTGGCGCTCCCAAAAGCGTTTTTGAATATTAATTTTTGGGCCTTAAATACCTATATATTTTCTTTACTATAAAAATAACAACTTGACTGTTATGTAAGCGGGAAAAAGGTAAATTTAGACTGTTGGTACGAAAAGAAAAACTGAATGCGAGATTTGGACCAGAAATGAGATACATCATTATTGTTTTATTATTCCCCAAATTAACTAAAATGGGACGCCCACATTCAGTTATAAACACATATGCTACCCAAAATAGCAAATTTGACTAATGACCTGGAAAAAGTACTTCGACTGAATATTTTATAACAAAACTATGGCTTCCCAATTCTTCAAAGTCCCGCTCAAATGAGCTAATTAGGATGACTAATTCCACTCTGATTCAGACTGAGTTTTCTCGCTCACATTTTTTGAAGAGATCAATGACTGATTCTTAAAAATGAGAATAATTAAAAAAGCATAAATTTGGGGTCTGGCTTAGGAATGTGAGACCATCTCATGAAATTGAGAACCTCACCACCCAAAAAAACTCTCTTGGTACCATTTTAAGATCAACAATGAAATATTGCTAAAACGTCTTTTTTGAATCATACGCCAATATTTAAAGCCGACAAACCAAATTTTTGACCAAAACTTCAAAAAAGCACCCAAAGTCAATCAATTTTTCAACATGACGTTATTTATGTTATAGACGAGCTCAAAATTTTTTCTTCTAGCCGACCTTATAAGTTTGACAAAAAGTTGTTAATTAATAATTTATTGTAAAACGGCTCTATGAGAAAATCTTTTACAGACAAAAATTTTTTCTATTTGAAAAATGTGAATCATGGATTTTTTCATGATAGATTATTGTTCCGTTTTTCAAAGAAAGTGAGTAGTTAT